ACCGAGCGTCGCAAACAGGCCACGAACGGTATACATGCCCGGCGCTGTACAGCGGAGGATCACAAGAGCGTTTTCCTGGAATGGCGAGGATGAACGCTTCTTGCTCCACCGGCTACGTGCGCGTAGGAGCTGCAGGATGATGCAGGTGGTAAGCCTGCCCGCAGAAACCTTGTTGGACAGCGACCCTCCCGGCTGAACTGAGGTGTGTAAATTCAACACACAGCCAACGGCGCCGTCGGCCACGGTTTTTGGCAGGTCTTGAACAGGAAACGTGCGTTGGATGGGCTTCAGCTAGACCTGATTTCAATCAAAATAAAAGCAAGGCTTGCCCGACTGTGGTGGGGAAAGCTTGGGCAATGGTATGCAATGGTGTGCTCCACTAGACAGCGCAATCGGCACAGGTGGTGAGATTAGAATCTGCAGAATTCGCTGCCTGTTGCAACACCCACCGTGCAGGGGAGGTGCGCCCCTGCGACCACGACCGCAGGTTGTGACATCACCGCTTGTTTTACGAAGTTGTTTGTTTATGCCAGTTACTGTTACGATTTCGCTGATCGCATGCGTTGCGGTTCACCGGACCGTTTGTTCATAATGTAAAGAAACACATGCGGCATGTTGCTAGAAGGATGCGAGAAGTACTGTACCCGCTGGGGCGAGCCAAGGCATGATGTGTTGCGTGATTGGAACGCACGGCAATGTTCCTTTGCGGCGGGGATCCATCGACCCCTAAGGCTTGCATGCAATTTAATGAAGTTTGGTACAACATTGGGAATTGACCACGTGCGTCATCAACTTTCCAAACCTTCTTTGGGCGAGGCATTCTCTAGCATGGGATTTTTTGGCACACATGTTCCGGGAAGACTGACGAGTTGGTGGACCACGACTTTGGAAAGCCTCGTGTGCTGGAAAGGATGGGGTGGCTGGACAGAGACGGCACCCAACGCTGGAATTTGCAGTGTTTTGCAGCAGCTTTCGCGATCCATCTGTTGTTTTTTTTTTGTACGCGCCTCTTTTCCTCCCGCAAGGTGGCTGGCCCATTATGCTGCCAGGGGGAGGCTTACTACCGCAGCTACCGCTACGTAGGGTTGTCGCCTTCAACTGCTACGAGCGCAGCGGCAAGCGACGGGCTCGCTGCTGGTCCAGCGAGCTCATCATCCCTCTGACGGAGCTTTCTGCGACCGTGCACGGATGAGGTGCTGCACGAAGCGGCCAGCCACGCCATTCCAGCGCCCGCAGACCTTTTTGTTTCGTGGAAATTTTCGGTGGAGGATTACAGCATGGTTAGGTTGTGTTTAGCAGACTTTTCAACAGCGGACTGGTTTACTTGACGGCCTACGGACTACGCTGCGGACTACGCTGCAGTCACTGCTTCTCCGCTCCCAGCGCCTTTCTCGCGATACGCACCGTGTTCGTTTCCCACGACCGTGGCTCGCTTGGCTACTGGGCCCGTGCGAGGGCAGGCAAGCGCCTGGTCGCTTTATGCATCGACAGCTGCGCCACACCCAGCTAAGGTTCGCGCGATTTGTATCGCGGCAGGTGATAGCATTGCGGAGCTGTGCGGAGCCGGGCGGGCCGAGTCGCCTCCCGCTCCGGTGAGCGGGAAGGTTCACGGTAGCGCTGGTACGCTTGCATGAGGGTTGAAAATAGCATTGTGGCCAGCTCTGTTGGGATCGCAGCGGGACAAGCACTCGCCTGTGGCCCGGCCTGGGGCCGCAGAAGCGCCGAAGAACTGGGCGACCGGCAGCGGATAGCAGCGGCACGCCTTCGCGAAAGTAGGTGGTGCGTGTGCGCGAATCGTGTATTTGCCAACCATGTAGCCAGTCCTTGGGGCACTCGTCGTGTGCCGGGGCTGGGCGCGTGCTTTGCATTAGGTTGTTTTCCGATGTTTTCCATGCGCCCTCAAAGACAGCCCCTCGTGTCCCACCCCCACGATTCTCATGGTTTCTCCACGGGTTCTTCCAATTTCAGCCTTTGCAAGGGGCGATCCAGTTTGCAACCAGCATGGGCTGGAGCATGGCGTTAATGTTCAAACGTATAAAAAACACAAAATGGGTACGTTTCGAGGGTAGCGGTGGTACGCTGCAGATGGTGCAGGGGGTGCGGTACGGTGGTTTGGCACGAGGGATACGGTGGTACGGTGGGACGGGTACCGTAGCGACCGCCGGCGCCGCGGTGCGGTTGGGGGGTACAGAGTTAAGGCACAAGGTGTTGCAGTATAACAGGTACGGTGGGTGATGGTGGAGTGGAAGGAGGGCTGATACCCATTGCTTCTGCCGACCTCGGCTTGTCCCCGCACCATCCCTATTGCACTCTCGCACCTCATTAGAGAACCACAGCTAGTGTTGCAAAACTGGATCTGTTTTTCTTGCATGCGAGGAGCACAGCGTGGGGGTGCGATTGTTGCGGTGGTACGGAAGTGCTGGATGAACTACGATGGGTACCATGCCTCTACACACCCCTTCGTACCGTGCCGCCATACCGTAACACCTGCAGCGTACAAATCGATCCCACGTGGTTCTTGAATCTCGATAGGTCGAACTCGTTCCTTTTGAGGATGCCTTTGGTTTCGTTCCCTATCCTGTGTCCTTCGAACGCATATCGTGATTTTTTCACGAAGTCAGGAAAGATCCGACCGAGCTTACCGCTGCCAGACTCAACAGGCATCACAAATGGGAAAAGAAACCAATGTATTGGGCAACAAGCTGAACACTGAGCAATGAAAGAAAATCATGGCCCACTGCATATTCGAGACTTTTCCCCGCTCGTTTCCGGCAGCAGGACTGCAAGGAGAACGAAAAGCGCACCACACGCGGTGCCCTGTGTCGGTTGAGGACGACCCCGCCGATCTTACACATGGTGGCAGCGCCCCGCTTCACGCACAGTTGATGAGTTCTGCCACCGTGCCATCCACCGTGAGCTTGATGCCCCAAGCCTTGCTATGTTGGATTCACAGTGGGGCCCTCATGCCGCGAGTGTCTTCACCACCACACCGGTCTCCAGCATTTCTGCCTTTGCTTCTCGCGTGTCAGCCTTACTTTCCTTTGCGGCTGCCCGCGCCTTTGCAGCAAGCCTTCTCTCCTTGCCCCTTGGCGGCACAGCCAATGTCGATGGAGAGTCGCCGCTGCTGAATGACATCCTCGCAGACTCCTCCCTTGAGCCGCTCTTTGCTCTTTGCAAGCCGCATGCCCGAGACAACGTAGCGTGCAGCCGGCCGAGAGTTGGGTCTGCACTGGGACTGCCAAGCTTGGGACGCTGGTAAAAAGGCGTGTTTTGGAAAAATTATGCGAGGCATAATTGAGGGCAACATGGTGAATCCAGACAACCGTGAGAACGGTATCAAATCAAACTGCCAGAGTATTTTTTTACTAGGCGTCGGACCCAGCTGTTGGCGGCAAAGTTGTGCAGCAAAAAGCAGCCCAAGCGTCATGTCTTCATGGTTCGCCGTTGGACACGTCGAATGTTGAGTTCCTACGAACCGTTACTATCGTTACCCGTCTATTTTGGTAGGAAAAGCTGAGGAGGGGTCGTTGGCCATGGTGTCGGCAAAGGTCTTTGCATATTTCTTTGCAGGAGCGAGAGCCGATCGAGCGCTTTCGGCTTCCACAACGGATGATGCAGGAGCTAAGAGGCGAGGACTTCACGAGTGTCAGCATGGCCAACGATGCTCTGTGCTTTCACCCGTGATCGTTGTTCACAACCTGTGACCGACAAAATTTAATTGTTTACTTTGATACCTCATGCTTGTTGTGTTGCCACGTCTGGCGTCCTCCCACCCAAGATTCTTCTGCTTCAACGTGCTCTCGCTCGCACATGCTGCGAAGCCGAAGCACATATCGGGACCGTGCACGATGTGAGCTGCATCGAGCACAGCATCGCTTCACAACTGTCGGTCCCGTTCAGGGTTTCGGCAGGGTGTCGCATTGAATTGGTCCGGGATCCTCGTTGTATCTCGTTGTGACGTTGTCGACGCTCTGTCTATGCGAGGAGATGAGCATCGGCCTTACCGGCCCTGCCAAAACCCCACTTTTTCGGAGCGAGGTGTGCAGGTGATCCAGGTTCATTTTCCCGCCGGAGTTTCACCGACTTTCGGCTGTGGGCTTGTGCGCGGCCGATTTCGGCATGGCAAATGCGAAGTATATGAAGTTGACCGTAATGGAAAGCAAATTCGAGGACAAAGTTCGGGGACATGTTGATTCTGGACCCAGGGAGCGCAATGACTGTGCAGCGACCACCAGCTGGTGACGATTGTTGGTAGAGGCTGTGCATTGGTTCATCCGAATGCTCGCGAAGACGGGCCTCACGGATTCTTCCATGTTTGATTCCGGTGGTTTTTAGGTTGCTCGGAATTTGTGGAGGGTTGCACCCGTCTGTGACACCCTCGTCTCAGGTTGAAAAGCCTGGTTTACTTGTTCGGTGCATTCCTCATGGTAGACTCCTAGAGTTTTGTAGAGGATGAACTCCATTTCAGGACGACAGGCAAATCCTTTTCCAGGGTGCATCAAGAGCAACGAAAGACGTCCTTGAATTGATCTTAGCGCTTGGATGCACGCAGGACAAAGTGCAACCTGGCTGAACATGCTTTCAATGATGCCGATGCGGGCCCCCGCCATACCGTGCTGTGGGCCACTGCCTGCAGAGATCTTGCCGCTCGCTCACCCCTCGCTCCCGGTTGCTGCTGCTTTCTGCACTGGTTGGGCATATTGCGTATCGTGGCTGAGCACCAAGGGTGTGTGTGTGTGCTGCTTGTTGAATTGAGTCAGATGATCATACACCAATGCTTGGACTTATTGCCACTGGGAGGTGCAAAAGGAAAATACTTTGCGGTACTATAAACATTCGACAGGTGGAAAACCTCATACACATAATGCATGCCAACATGTTACAGGTTGTTGTGGGGTTTCACAGGACATGTAATGCCTCAGGGCCAAGCGTGAATTTCCGGGCCTTGCGCAGCCAAGATGCATGTATTTCGTGCAGCTTGTTGTGTAGCTGTCACTTTGATGTGGCTGCCTGTCGGTCATGTGCTTGCTGAGATGCGTTTCAGCTGTTCGGTAGCATGGGTTGTCATCTGCGTCATTTCAGCCCCTGCGGACCTGGCCACGTGCTGAGCGCGGGGTCACGCGGAGTCGCTTGTTCATTGCAGCGGATATACGAAGTGCTCGCAGGCCGAGCCATGCAAGGGTGGCGAGCAGGTGTGGGCATACTTCGCTGGGGAGGTCAGTCAGGGTTGTCCCATGACATGTGATCAACTGCTGATGCGGACAGCCAGGTTGACGTTGGAGACGGCGTTGCAGAGCCATGCAATCCCAGCATGAAGGCAATCGATTCATGACATTTGTCTCGAACCGATAGCTATCGGTGATGCAGGAGTGCTGGTTCGACGCGGAGGCAGTTCTCAGCAAACTCCACCGGGGTACGTTCTTGCGTGTTCAACTGCATGTCGAGGTCCAGCATGGGCCAGATGACCATGGCGTGTACCACATCGTTTGGGCAGATGCAACACCGTCCTTCCAAGAGGTTGGATCTTCTGCACGGGCCATTGCCACTTATCAGTATCATGCTGCTAGTAAGTATTAGTCGTATTTGCTTGGGAAGACCAGCCGACTCGCCGGAGGTGCATGGTTCACAACTCCTTCGCCTCGACTCCGATAAGGTGCACCGTAACTTCCGTGTACTGATGTCATTTTGTCAATGTTAACATGTATCATGCATCCCTCGTTTTCCTTGCTGGTAGCCGTTCTGATTCCAGGCTTGTGGCGTCGCCAGAGCTGCAGCTTTGGAAACCTCGCAGGCCGTGTATCGTTTTGTATGCAAGTTGGCTGTCGTGCACTTCCGAGCAGAGCTCTTTCAACTTGGCTTAGTGCAACTATATCCTTGGGCAAGGATCGTGGTCCTGTGGCACCGACGCTGCTGTCAGTTCCTGTGAATATTATCCTTTCCTTCGTCGATGCAACCTTGAACTTACCATGTGTCCCCCCCAGGTTGCGTCTCCACTGGGAGGCACGTGTGGCGCATCTGTGATTGCCAATGGAGAATCCTTGGGGCCCTGAGGCATCGGATGTTGCATGGCGTGCTGACGCCATTGCCAAGTTGCGTGAAGACTTTGGACCTGAGGAGGCGGGCATCATCTATCGTCTGGAGGTTTCGATGCGCCTAAACCGAAATCTGCGATTCCAAGCTCAGCCTGCGGCTGCTAAGGTGATTGATGATTTCGACTGGCATGTGATCATGAGGTTCAAGGGCACAGCGGCCTGTGAGGAGGTGGGGGTAGTGACCGCACAGGAGGGAACTTGGGAGCCAGTTGAGAGTCATCGAGTGGCATTCGAAACGAGACGTTGAAAGCTATCCCCAGGCTGCAGGCTGCTCTGTCCGGGGTAATCCCGTTTAGTTGCGAGTGGCTCATGTAGCGGAAATGATGTCTGCCGCCAGCCGATACTTTTCATTTCTTCGTGTGACAGTCCGCGGCATGGGGAGCCACAAAATCAGTATAGCAGCACGTGATTTCGTATGGATCCAGAAACTTGGAATGTTACGGAGGTTCATATGTTTGGCCGAATGCAACCTTCTTGAAACTACCCTGATGAATCCCTCCGAAGAGACAGGTGCGTGATCTCTTGCAGAATCTTTTAAACCTCTGCGATGATCCTGAAAGTTCCGGGCTTGGGCAGGTCCTGTCAGTGAAGGATGCAGTTCTGTTCCAATATGTTCCAATCGCCGCGGGTTTTGGTGTGTGTGGTGCTTCTGTCTGAAGACATTGCGACAATCTAAAGCTCTTCACATGATCGCCCGCTGTCATGGGACAGCTACAAGTGGCCATGCTGATTGCCTGGCTGAGGTTGCTTTCGTCATCCCTACGTTCAGGCGTCGGTCAGACTGATTCGATGTGCCTTCAAGCAATGAGCGAGAGCTTCGATCAGCCGAGAAATGCATGGTGCTTGTGTGTCTTGTGCACATTCAGGGGTTTTAAACCCAAAGCCCTAAACCCTACACCCTACATAAACCCTGAACGCTTGTAGACTTCGATTCCTGCCGATTCAGGCGGTGGAATACGAGGCCTGCGAGTTCCGGGCTCGCACAGAGCCGCAAGACGAGCGCTACTTGGCCTCCCATATCCCTTGATTTTGGAATATTCCTTCAGTCATATGAAGGATCCTACTATAGTTTCAGGCTTATTCCTTGACCAAGGGATATTGGAGTCTTTGGGCCGCTTGAAGCCTGTCGTAACTTCAGGTCCGGTGCCATTTGCATGCCTGGTGTCGGGCAGCTTGAGAATTCCCATTCCCAGTTCTCAAGCCAAGGTCTGGAACTGTGACTTCGAAGTGCGCAGCGAGAAAGGACAAATACGTTTTTTGGAGTTTCGTCGTATCCTGCCGGTTGCTTTCATCTCGAATTTTTGCCGCGACTTGCCTTGAACAACTCGTCACGCTTGTAGCATCAGGCATTATGAATTTTATGTGTTTCAGCATTGCGGCTGGGATTGTAACAGACATCGAGCCGGAGGAACAGTGACACAAATGCTATCACATCCGGTCGGAGAGAGTCCGACACTGATGCCTGGGCGAAGTTCTTCGATGGTCCCAGCAGCAAGCTCGAGCTTGGAGCCTGAAGTTTGGCAGCTTTGGCTACAAGCAGGGCGGAGGGGAGTTCTGTACACAAGCCTCAAAAGGTAGACAGGCTGTTTCGACGGTCCCCTACCCAGGTAAAATCAAGTAAGTCAAATTGAACCACCCTGGAGGTGGATAGAACATGGAATCTGGATATGCGATGACTGCATGTCTTTTTACCCCACACTACAGCTTTACCGGGAATATCAGATTAATTTAGCGGGTCGCAGCCCTTGGCGACGTGATGGCTGCATGGGAAGATCTCGTGCAACAAGCTCGGCATGGGAATGGCTTGGGTGCGATGGAGGGTGCGGCGCCCAAACGGAGACGGCCCATGGACATCTTGACTTGGCTTGGGCTTTGGTCTGACTGACTTGTAGGTGAGTAGAGCTAGATATGATGTGTGGATTGTGCAATTACCTCAAAACTGCCAGCACACGGAAAGCGCGAGAGATGCACATTTCCGCGATCCTTCAACTTTTAGGAGCTACTGGTAGCGGCTCGCGCGCTTGTGCGCAGCACAGTGTTCGTAGGTCTTCAGATTACTAGGGACAGTAATGATAAGTCAAGTTTACTCATAAAAAAATATAAACCTTGCGTCGGCCAGGCCAAGCGAATGGATGGGCTGGACATCCGGAAACCTTTACCAATGGGCCTCCACCCCCTTTGAGGCTTGCAGCGGCTCATCAGCGATGTGAATCCACAGCTGCGCTACGACGCCGTGGAGGAGGGGTTGGTGCAGCTGAACTGAGTGAAGCTGTTGCCGAGGTTCATGAGGTTTTACATAGAGCTTGCAAGAGTTGCAGGTTAGGAAAGGTTTTGCCAGGACAAGGGGGGTGATAGGAGTTTCCGCAAACCTTTAGGGACTTCTCGAATAAACGGCCCATTTCCACAGTCCCATGTTAAAGCACCAGAAGCTTGTTTCAGGCTTGGACGGAGGGCCCCAGCCCCACCCTAAATATTAGGTGCCGTATTATGATAGGGACCCAAAAAAGGGACCATAATTTTGACGACCGCCCAACATTCAAGCACTCAACCTCCATGAGAGAAGAATCGCCCGGAGGCCTTGATGCACATTGCTCTCGCGGTCTTCGCGAGGGCAGACGCAGAAGAGGCCTGGATTGGGCCATGGCTCCGGGTAGTTGATACAGTGTTGCAAAGGAGGTGCCAGGTACTATAGGGTTACGAAGTTAATTTCAGAGCCTTGTAAGGGTGCGATACGGGTGGCATACGGTGTCCGCAGTATGAATAGTAAGGTCACTCTTTGGGGTTGCTATACAAATCTAGACAGGTAGTGTGTGGATACTAAAAGTGTGGTGAACTACTACAGGCTTCGGCAAGGAACCTGTGCTGAGATCCGCAGGTGAAGCTGTGCTACGACCTCTTCAGCAGCCATCTGTCAAAGAGGCGTGGGTGCTTGTGATCATCATTTTGGGATCGGGGGCTCGGGGTCCGGGAGCTTAGACTCAAAGCTTTGCATGACTTTCGCGAAGGCGGGAATGAAGTCTTAGATTCTTAGATCCTTAACCTGCATGCAGTCCCAGCTGCGAGACTCGAAACTCCAAATGCGGGAGCCACAAAACTGTCAGCCATCCACAAGTTTCTCACATGTTCCAGTCAGTATTGCAGCTCAGTGTGGGCGACCACGACGAGTACGTGCGGGCTTTGGCACTGGAGGGCATCTCATCTGTGCTTCGCAGAGGCGATCACGATGCAGGCTCGGTGATACATGTGCTGTGCGCCTGCGGCTCTCGTAGTACTGGTAGCTTTGAGTGAAGAAGATTCCTTGCAATTGCCTCCGCTGGCTAGTGCCCTTGCTTAGTCCTTTGCCCGCACAGCGCCATGCCATGCCTTCATGCATCATATTGGTGGTCGTGGTTGGCAGTGCTTCGACCAAGGCGAAAGGAACTGAAACCGTAACGCCAACAAAACTGCTGCTGGTGTACTATGGTGTACTCTATGGTGTACTTTTCGTCGTGCCGTCGTGCCGTCTTGACGTGAGCAACAGACTTGCTGAGGCTTGCCTTCAAGAGGTGGTTAAACGGAAAAACCGCGAGAAGACTAGCACTACTTGTATCCCGGTCCCCCAAACTGATGTCTCGCATTTCGGCTCAAGTGACCCGAAGGCAGTCAGAGCATCCTTGTATCGTAGCTGTGCATTGCCGTGTGGCTGAGCAGCTTCTTGATTTTTAAGATGCTTGGCACATGTGGGATGATACTGCTTCTCTGAACTGTGAGAGTGCTGTGAGGTGTCATGCAGAGAGCCCAATACCTCATAGCTAAGGGAATGCGGTTTCCTTCAATCATAAGATGAAGGCTCTCATAATTCAAGGGGTACTGGCCTCGACTCCCGGAACTTGGCTAGCCAGAGCTAAGGAAAGGGTGTGCAGCACTTTGACAGAGATCTTCCTAAAGATGCCTTCGAGATTTTGCAACCAGTCCGGAAGCTTGGACTTGCAGAGTGACGGCCCTAAGCTTGCCACAGAGCTTTGGGTTCCGAGTTGAGGGTTTAGTGCAGAGTCGTTGTCTCAATGTAACCCAGGGTGGGATATTGCCATGGCATTGTGTCCCACGGCGTCAATCCGACATCCTGTTAATCCTGCATCTGACACGAAGATTTCACATCGTGGCTCACGATCGTAGTACAAATTAGCAACAGCCCCCTGTAGTTGTAAACCCTAAAACAAAAGGCCTTGATTCATGAAAAGTGTGTGTAGTACTACAGGGGAGTTAATAATTACCGATGTTATTTTTTGGGGCCTTATTCCCTGAACCCTAAACCCTTGCCTGCCTTGTGCGAGTGTGAGCGTAGAACCGAAAACCCATTTGATTTGCTGAATCATACGACTGTGGCTCCCGATGCCTCTCGTGCTTGGAAGGGCAGGGGACTTAGTAAGTAGGTTATAAGTAGAGTTACAAGTACCCTAAATGGGGTTACCCTAATTATAACCCTACTTATAACCGACTTACTAAGTCCCCTGCCCCTCCAAGTGCCAGCTGTGCTCCGAGGATCCATGTCTCGGGAGAACGTGCGTTCTACTCGCCTGCCCCTGGGCTCTTGTTAAGGACGTTCCCAGAGACTCCAATATCCCTTAATTAAGGAATATACCTTAGATTATAGTAGGATCCTTAATATGATTTAAGGAATATTCCTTAAGTAAAGGATATTGGAGTCTCTGGGTTAATGTAAAGTACCATAGTGGGGACTTATAGTAAAGACTATGAAGTGAACTTAATTTGAGGTACCATCACAGGGAACAATAGTAAAGAACATGAATTAAAGGTATATACCATAATGGGGATCTATTGTAAAGAATATGGCTTCCTTATGATGGTAACTTAAGTTACACTCCTTACCACGAACCCAGGCTTCTGGGCTCGGCCGCCGGTGGCGCAGTTGCCGCGGCGGCCGTGCCAGGGTTGGCCTCGTGGGCATTTCTGGCACCTTCATCGAGCGACGGCATTGAGAAAACACTGCCCCGGTCCCTCCGAGGCCCCTTGTGATTCGGAGTGTGTCTTGATGTCTGCATTGTGCATGACAGTAGGAGTATTGTGCTATATTCTACGTATTTGGCCGCATTATGCTATGATGTACCACACGATGCCATATTTTACGATGCTGTACTATACAATAGTATACTATACCACGTCATATGCTAGGGTTAGATCCCAAGCAAGAGTCTGGCAGGAGGTGCAACGCAAGAGCCCACGGTGCCAGCGCAGCATGCCAAAGGAGCTTCCCACTCCTGGACGCCGCCCGCTTGGAGACTTCGGAGTTGTGTACTTGGTTGTGCATGTGGCATACTTGTCCGTCTACAAATGTGATATAATATATTTGCATTTTCAGTATCTGTTTGTCTCGTCTCTTTCTGTTTCCCTGCATCTGTCTATGACACTTTGCATGCTCTGTCTCCTGAATTGGTGATCAAACGTCTGCCAGCCCCGATCGGCAGTGCCGTCGAAGTCTCGCCTTCAATTGACACGGAAGAGCCGAGTACTTCCTTTTCCTTGCACCGACGGTTCGGCCCTTTGGTTCGAGGTTTTTGACTGCCGGAGCCGTTGCCGGTGTTGCCGCACGGCGCCGTGCGACCTTGGCACGAGGCAGCGCTAGGGTTGTGGTGTGGTGGGCAGTGTCTTGGGTTGGATCAGGGCATCCTTGCCATTACTCCGAATCTTGCTTCAGCTAGAAGGGAAAAGCCGTTCTTTCATGTTGTAGCTGGTCGGGAATGTCTGAGGTAGCAGACTGCTGCACTTTGTCTTGCACTGTCATGTTTAGGTAGTACACTGTAGCAATTTGTCTTGCACTGTCATGTTTTTGAGATCTTGAGCCGCAGAGGCAGGCGCGGCCTGAGAGTCCTAGGAGCCGGAACCCTTTGATTAGGCTGATTGGCGTTGGGACAGGAGAGCTAGCTCATGGAATCCTCGTTATGTGGACCCATGTGGAAAGGTACTGCAAAGGAAGCCTTTAATTTCACACACCTACTGCGCCTTCGTCGCGTCACCCTCAGCACGAATGTCACCTGCTTTACAAAATATCACATTAAACCCTGGACCCCTAAATTGAAAGCCCAAAGCGTCATTGCCGACGGTGACCGCCGCTCAGCTTTACAGGAGATTGGTACTATCATTATGAACAGTAGCAGCAGTATTACTCAGAATATTAATCCAATATTTAATAGTGCTACTGCTGTTAGTCCCTAAACCCTAAACCCTAAACCCTAATCCAATATTTAATAGTGCTATTGCTATTCGTCCCTGCAAGGCCCAAATCCAGGCACGTCAGGTGCTTCTCAGAGTTCCAGCAATCTAGCCAGACGAGAGGAGTTAGAAGCCTTCGAATCGTCATGATGCTTAGTACAACCCCAGACTCAACCTATAAGTTAAAGATTAATCCAGTCATCCTAAACCCTAAACTCGAAAACCTGAATGCTGTGCATAGCTTTCACGCCCACTTGAAAGGCCCAGAATCCCTAGACCCCACGCCCTAAATCCTAAACCCCAATCCCCTAAACCCCAAGCCCCAAACCCTAAACCTCTAAAGGGAACTCCAGAAAGTTGAAATATGGAATACTGGCAGGATCCCCTATATTTTACCTTAAAGGGATTAGGATAATGATATTCCAACTTTCTGGCTTCTACTGTAAAGCCTTAAAGCCTACTTGAGAGGCCCAGAGGCGCTCCCCAGCACGCGACCCGCCCCCCGCGCCCTCCGCCGTGCTGTGGAATCGGGTGACCTCGGGGCCATTGCCACTGGGAAACGAAAGTTTACTGCTCTTAGTTGGGGTTTTAAGTTTTTTCTTTGGGATTATGGTTACGGGCTTCGGCTCATGAGTGCTTATGCCTTTATTTGAGCATGCTTGTCGGTACAGAAATCGTAGCCATGAGCTGCCAAGCTTTTAGTTAGTCGAGTCGAGTTCGAATCTCTGCAAGGATCATTGTACGGTTGTTTTCTTTGCACCGTGTCGTTTTGAGACCTTCGATAAGCATTCCTGGTTGATGTTCTCGCAGGTGATTATTACAAGCATTGCGTTTGTAGAGGGTATCAGCATAGCAAGACCGGAAGAGTGAATGAGCACCATGCACACCGGCATGCACGAGTGCTGCAAGCATCATGCTCACCAGTGTGCACAGGCACGGGAGCAACCACAAATGCAACAGAGACATGTTGTAAGTGTGTAGTCAGTTGAAAGGCTAACTTAGGGCTCGGATTCCATGTTAGGGGATATGCGATACAGGTCTTGAAAGGTAATCTGGGGACTGTTGCGGTCCAGAAGCGGAAAATGTTCGTTTATGCGAAGTTCATGGTGCATGCTTAAGTGAAGTAGTGTCTTCTGTCGTTGCATACTGACAGAGACTCGTGGAAGGTGACTCTGTGCAGGGACGTCGTGCCACTTATCGTGTTGTGCTGATAGTCTGCTTTACTGGACGGAGTGCCGGTCTGCGTTTTTTCGATAATTTACCGAACTTGCTGTATTTACCGTTCGGGAGCTCTTTTGTGGGCTTGCCACAAAATCGTGTCCCTCGTGGTGTCCACAGTCCTTCAGGAAAGGAGCTCTGAAGAAGAGACTTTGCAAGAAGTTTCCTACAGGATCCCCATGGTAACGAACACCTATCGTAGCCGGACAATCCGCCCCATCAAACTATTGTATGAATGTGTCACAAGTCTTAAAACCTGCATTCTGTACACTTCTATGCCCTGTGTCAACAAAACCCGAGGCCCAGGTTGCAGCCACCGATCCTCAGGCCGAGATTCGTTCCGGACTTTCGGATTTTCGGAACAGCTTGTGGGACCAGGGGTTCGGTGCAGTGTTTCGATTTCAAAGCGGCCTCGAGGGTGCTAGCTGGGCCTTTTCTCCAGTGCCGATGTCGAACAAGGGGTCAGCTGAAAGTGGAAGTGGAAATCGCAGGGATGTTATGTTGACGCGATGGCAGCACTTGTCGTGACTATAGGACTTTGACACTGTTCCTTGCAGGCGGCCGTCGTGGCTATGCAGGTGGCAACCCAGGCGGCCACGGATGCCCTGATGCAGCTCACGGCCCTGCTGGGCCCACCTCAGGCAGCAGAGGCTGCGGAGGCTACGGCTGCCGCCTCGGAGCCGGGGCTCTGGGAAAAGGTCTCCGCCTTCTTCTTCGACCCGCGGCTTCAGTGGGACGAGAATGGCAACATCCTCCTGGATCCCCAGGGCAACCCGCTCCCCGACAACCTGTGGACCCAGTTCGTCGCGTTCCAAGCCACGCTCATCAAGCGCCTGGATGAGGCACCAACACTACCGGAAATCGGGATCGAGGGATGTCGGGTGTCCAGAGTCTGCTGAATTTCGAATCCGAGGAGAAAACCTAAAGACCCTCGAGCTCCATAGCCTCCTAGCCGTAAACCGTGAAGTTTAAACCTTAATCCCTAGGGCGCCTTGATACAAACCCTGGAACACGTAAGGAAGATTCTTGAACCGCGGTAAAAATTTGCAGAACCCTTTTTTAAGACTGTCATAGAACTCTTATTGACAGATATTTGATCAGGTTATATCGTATTATGTCATATTAGCTTTTCATATCATATTAACTGTATTACATCATATATTATTATATCATCGTACCGTCTGATAAAAGAGGCTTTAAGCAATCATGCCGCCAGGCCATCTCCGGTCTCGGCATCCCCCAGTCCTTCGGTTTCGCGGTGGCCACCTACACCCTGCTGATCCCCCGGCGGCAGAAAGGGGTGTAGGGTTGTAGGGTGGTTATAGGGTGCTATGGTAGGTTCCCTTTAAGGGATGTTATGAGGTTCCTTTAAGGGATCCCGCAGCAGCACAAAGGCTTTAGGATTGTAGAATTTAGGAATTAGGCAGAGAGGGTTTAGGGTTTGGGGATGTTTAGGGAAGGGAGATGTTTAGGGTGTAAGCAGCACTGTCTCTTAGGCCGAAGAAGGTGTTGATAGGTTTGGGGATGTGGGGTTTCAGGGGCTGAACGTCGCCGGATAAGAAAATTCCATGCCTTTGCCTTGCATAGTTGCGTGTGCAGAAATCGCTGTTGCGACACAAATGACACTCTAAACCTGAACCTAGACCCCAAACCTGTTTTGAGCTGCACCATGCTGCTTGCCTGGTCATGGAATCCGTGCCTGCTTCGTGCACGTGTGCGAGTCGAAACCCGAAGCCCTAACCCTAAACCCTATCCCTGAAGCCGAGACCCCAAGGCTGGACACTAACATGATCCGTTAATCATGAATCGGAAAAAGAGTGCTGAAGCTCAGAAGTTCTGAGGATCAGGACGCTCCTCTACCCTTTCGTGAAAGGTCAGTTGGAGACGACTGCGCCGCTTGCGTTGGGTGTTATGGTGTAGTGTTGATTTTTTTGTTGTATTCTGGGGCTTGGATTGCTGGGTCGATGACCTTCATGTAAGACGGAAGCCTGAACGATTATCAGCAGGTTTCCTAAGCATTCCCTGTTTCTGCTTGTACTATGATGTACCCACAACCCTGTTCTCATTGCTGAGGCCCCTACAGTAGGGTCGTAGGGGGCTCTTTATGTTTCGATGTGAAAGAGTTAGTGACGTTAAGTTATCAGGTTTTTTCGTTACAAATATATCGGGGATTCGCGGGTTTTGCCGCACGTTTTTTTGGTGAGATCCTGAAGCTCGAGACCTCCTATTTAGCGCAAACCCGGGTGATTGAATCGTGATGTCGTGCCTCACCCGTACAAACCTAATGTTTGGGACCTGATGAACAAAACCCCTGCCCTATAACCCTAAATTCTGAGACTGCATACGAAGAACCCGAATAAACACCCAGGGTTTCTTGTTTCAGATTCCTATATTATTCCAGAGACTCCAATGTCTTTTGATTACGGAATATCCCTTCAATGATAGTAGGATCCCTGATAAGATATGTTTTCAGGAATTCCGATGGCAAGACCTTAGCTTTCCGATCCCCTGGTCGCGTTGCCGGGCCCACGAGCTATGCTCAGGCGCCCCAAAGCCCTGAGCGAGGCTGGACATAAATCAGCGCAGAACGTCACAAGGAACATTGTTTTCAAAAGGAAATGAAACTCTAAACTCCGAGCTTTACGACGGGCTTTGGCTTTGGGCTGCAGGGCTTGGAGCGCAAAGCCCTCAACTCCAGAGCCAGAGCCCGGAGCCTAAAGCCGCGGTGAATCACGCCCTAAAGCCCGGAACCGAAACCAGAACACCCCAGAACCCAACCCTCAACCCCTAAACTTGAAACCCACAAACCCCAAAACCCTAAACCGCCTCAACAGACCTCGTCTGGCGGAGTCCGAGCTGCGAGAGCATAAACCGCCTAAAGACGGACGGAGATGGCTCAGGAAGATCCAGGTCTTGGCCCCCCGCGTGAACGAGATTCGAGAGAAGTACAAGGTGGCTTTTCTGTAAAGTCTGGGGGTTTGGGCTTATGGTTTGTGGTTTCGGTTTGTGGGGCTTAAGGTTAAGGGCTTCGCGAAATTTGTCCTTTGGTTCCAGTTGTCTGGCTACTAACTTTAGTCCAGTAGCAAGGAGGGCCAAGGGTTTAGTGGCTTCGGGTTTAGGGTTATCCTGTACCCGGGATGCTTCCATCAGACATCACCCAATTCAGAAAGTTGTGGTTCTTAAGCCAGTGAACCGCTGCGAGTTGGCAGGACTTTCCGACAGCACCACTCAAACTCAGAGCTGAGGGGTCTTTTGGGAGTTTCCGAAAACTAGGGGTACCTTATTTGGGGGTCCTTATAATAAGGATCCTACGGTACTATCTTAGGATCCCCTGTTTTCGGAAACCCCCTTTTAACAAAGGCTGCAAGCGCCCTCAACCCACCAAATTTCTGAGGCTCCTCAAAACATGTCCACAAAGACCTCACCCTGGAAACCCTAGACCCCAAACCCTAATCCTAGACCCTTAGCAAGACGGAAAAAGGGCGGTTCAAAAAAAAGAAAACCCTAGGCCCTGAACCCTAAGCCCTAAAGCCCTAAACCCCTTAACCCCCAAACCCCCAACCCCCCAAACCCCAAACCCCAAACCCCTGAACCCCCAAACCCTAAACCCCTAAACCCTAAACCCTAAACCCCTAAACCCCTAAACCCTAAACCCTAAACCCAGGCCCTAGGCGGAATTTGCAGAGTGAAGATAGCTCAAAGTAGCCGAAGAACGATGCCTTGATAGTTCCCTTGCTTCACAAAATAAAAAACAAGGCACCATAGCATTGTCGGCGGCTTGCAGTGCTCTGACTTTCTAGCCATATGTTTGTGTGCTACTGCGTTCAATTTAGCCTTTTCCTTGCTGTGCGAGCACTGAGAGACCGTCGTCGATTCTCCGACCAATGCGCAGTCCTTGAGATGGCTGCCTTCTTTCTCTTGTGGTGTACTGGTCAGCGTTTGGCTAACTTTGTTGCAGCTCCTCGTGGTGAACTGGTACAAGTGAGAATCGGCCTCAGCTTCTTGTCACACCGACTTCGCACCTAAGAACCTCGCCTGGCTGTGTCCGAGTTGTGAGAGCGTAAACCCCAAACCCCTAAACCCCTAAACCCCTAAACCCCTAAACCCTAAACCCTAAACCCCAAACCCCTAAACCCCAAACCCCTAAACCCTAAACCCGAAACCCCAAACCCCTAAACCCCAAACACCCCTAAACCCCCAAACTTCGCAAAAATCCTAAGAAGACGCCCTCGGCCTTGAGACTTAAACTGACGAAGGACGACGAGGAGCGCCTGCAGCAAGAGGCGCTAATGGGGGGGCTTTTAAATTGGTAGCAGCCTTAAGGGACGTTTAGGGGTTTAGGGTTTAGAGTTTAGGGCTTCAAGGAGGTTTTGTGTTTCGGGTTTTAGGGTTATTTTGTCCAGCACGATCGGGAGGTTTTAAAGTTGCTTTTTCGAGAGTTTTCAGGGGCTTTGGGCTTCAGATTTTTTGAGGTTCTTTTCTTAGACTTCAAAGCGGTTTTGTTCTTCAGGCTTCTTTTGCTAAGCTGCAGCCGAAGTTTCTGTTGCCCAGCTCTGGGGCCGCAAGCGGGTTGACACTCCAATCTTAAGAGGGGCCCTCCTGCCCACAATAGCCCTAAACCCTCAATTAAGCCCTGAACCGTAGATCCTCTTCCAGTCGGCAACTTTGCAGCTTTTTTCTTAAAATCGCCAGCCTGCAAGCGAGTCTAGATTCTAGGGCCCCTAAACCCCAGAACCCCGAACCCTTAGGCCGTGAAGACAGGGAGCGGGCCTCGTCCTTGCCAGGTAGGAGGGAAACAAAAGATTGGAGGTGGGCTATAAAGCCCCTTATCAAGCCTTCTAAATCCAGAACCGTCAACTCCTAAACCCGTAAACCCTAAAAACTTAAACCCTAAACCCTAAAAGCCTTGAATCCTAAAGCCCTAAACCCTAGAGCCCTAAAGCCCCAAACCCTAAAGCCCTAAAGCCTAAACCGCCTAAACCCTGAAGCCCTAAACCCTGAAGCCCCAAACCCTAAAGCCCCAAACCCTAAAGCCCTAAAGCCTAAACCACCTAAAGCCCTAAACCCCCCAATGCCCTAAAGGTGGGCTATAAAGCCCCTTATCAAGCCTTCTAAATCCAGAACCGTCAACTCCTAAACCCCTAAAGCCTAAACCACCTAAAGCCCTAAAGCCCTAAGACTTAAAGGTGGGGATCAACTCTTAAAGCCCTGAAGCCCTAAAACCCTAAAGCCCTAAACCCCCCAAAGCCCTAAAGGTGGGCTATAAAGCCCCTTATCAAGCCTTCTAAATCCAGAACCGTCAACTCCTAAACCCCTAAAGCCTAAACCACCTAAAGCCCTAAAGCCCTAAGCCTTAAAGGTGGGCATCAACTCTTAAAGCCCTGAAGCCCTAAAACACCTAAAGCCCTAAACCCCCCAAAGCCCTAAAGGTGGGCTATAAAGCCCCTTATCAAGCCTTCTAAATCCAGAACCGTCAACTCCTAAACCCCTAAAGCCTAAACCACCTAAAGCCCTAAAGCCCTAAGCCTTAAAGGTGGGCTATAAAGCCCCTTATCAAGCCTTCTAAATCCAGAACCGTCAACTCCTAAACCCCTAAAGCCTAAACCACCTAAAGCCCTAAAGCCCTAAAAGGTGGGGATCCTCTTAAAGCCCTGAAGCCCTAAAACCCTAAAGCCCTAAACCCCCCAAAGCCCTAAAGGTGGGCTATAAAGCCCCTTATCAAGCCTTCTAAATCCAGAACCGTCAACTCCTAAACCCCTAAAGCCTAAACCACCTAAAGCCCTAAAGCCCTAAGCCTTAAAGGTGGGGATCAACTCTTAAAGCCCTGAAGCCCTAAAACCCTAAAGCCCTAAACCCCCCAAAGCCCTAAAGGTGGGCTATAAAGCCCCTTATCAAGCCTTCTAAATCCAGAACCGTCAACTCCTAAACCCCTAAAGCCTAAACCACCTAAAGCCCTAAAGCCCTAAGCCTTAAAGGTGGGGATCAACTCTTAAAGCCCTGAAGCCCTAAAACCCTAAAGCCCTAAACCCCCCAAAGCCCTAAAGGTGGGCTATAAAGCCCCTTATCAAGCCTTCTAAATCCAGAACCGTCAACTCCTAAACCCCTAAAGCCTAAACCACCTAAAGCCCTAAAGCCCTAAGCCTTAAAGGTGGGGATCAACTCTTAAAGCCCTGAAGCCCTGAAACCCTAAAGCCCTAAACCCCCCAAAGCCCTAAAGGTGGGCTATAAAGCCCCTTATCAAGCCTTCTAAATCCAGAACCGTCAACTCCTAAACCCCTAAAACCTAAACCACCTAAAGCCCTAAAGCCCTAAGCCTTAAAGGTGGGGATCAATTCTTAAAGCCCTGAAGCCCTAAAACCCTAAAGCCCTAAACCCCCCAAAGCCCTAAAGGCCCCTTATCAAGCCTTCTAAATCCAGAACCGTCAACTCCTAAACCCCTAAAGCCTAAACCACCTAAAGCCCTAAAGCCCTAAGCCTTAAAGGTGGGCATCAACTCTTAAAGCCCTGAAGCCCTAAAACCCTAAAGCCCTAAACCCCCCAAAGCCCTAAAGGTGGGCTATAAGCCCCTTATCAAGCCTTCTAAATCCAGAACCGTCAACTCCTAAACCCCTAAAGCCTAAACCACCTAAAGCCCTAAAGCCCTGAGCCTTAATTAAAGGTGGGGATCAACTCTTAAAGCCCTGAAGCCCTAAAACCCTAAAGCCCTAAACCCCCCAAAGCCCTAAAGGTGGGCTATAAAGCCCCTTATCAAGCCTTCTAAATCCAGAACCGTCAACTCCTAAACCCCTAAAGCCTAAACCACCTAAAGCCCTAAAGCCCTAAGCCTTAAAGGTGGGGATCAACTCTTAAAGCCCTAAAGCCTAAACCACCTAAAGCCCTAAACCCCCAAAGCCTTAAAGGTGGGGATGCTCTACAAACTCTCTCAACCGTCACGGTAGTCTTGGAGCTTCGATTCAAAAAAAAAAAAGGTGGGGATGCTCTACATGGACCTCCAGGTCGATCCACTTGGTGCGGTACTTCCGTTTCTTTGGGCTGCAAGAGGGTTCGAAGAGGAGAGGGTTTTTGGGGGGTTTAGGGTTTCTTTACTTTTTTTGGTTGGGTCTAGGGTTTAGGGAAGAGGATGGGATTTTTAGGGCTTTTGGTGTCTAACTTGGGGTTTAGTGTTGTGAACGTTTATTTGGTATTTACTATCTCAACATACAAAATTAAAAAGCTGGAAAGAAGGTAAACTAAAGCTACAGGACAAAGGTAGAGGAAAGGTAACCATATCGAGAGAAGGTGAAACAAAGCTACAGGGAAAAGTTAAAGCACAGGTAATCATATGCAGCAGCAGCAGCAGCAGCAACAACAACAACACCAACAACAACAAGTTCGCAAAAGTACTTCAGTACCACAACGACAACCACAACGATTCAGGACAACTACTGCTAAGTTACGACTAGTTACTAGTTACTCGTAGCTTGTCAGGACTACTGACTGCTGTTGCTGCTGCCTTGAAAAAAACAGCTATGTCTCTGTATTGTTCCAGCCAACTTTAGTGATTGTGGGGCTTCAGGGGGGTTAAAAGAGGACAGGGTGTTTGGGGGGTTTAGGGTTTCTCTACGGGTTTTAGTTGGGGGTTTTAGTGTTGCGGGGGTTCTGGGGTTTGTTTAGGGTGAGGCTTCTGGAGGAGGGGGTTCAGCGTTTGAGTTTCTGGTTTTTCTTTCCGTCCTGGTTGACAAAGATTGAGGTTTTTGAGCTTGGGGTGCGGCCTTGCAGTCAGACTTGGCACAGTTTGTCAGAAACCATCCAGGCTTCTCGAGCAGCTTCTGGTAAATTTTTCAACGCTCTCTAGCCCGGGCTTTAATAGTCGAGGCTTTGAAGGCCGGAAGTCTGGATCCAGGCGTCTGTCATTGAGATATCATGAGAGCCCTCAGCATCTCGATTGTAGCCTCATGGAGCCCGTTCAATTATGCAAGATGCGCAAGGCGTCTTTGCCGCTGTCAAATTCGCCCCGATTCTTCATTTTCATGCAGAGTGTGTTGGAATAGGCCGGTAGCCAGCATAACCCATGCTCACATGCGCGATACGCTGTGAAGGTTGCTGCTTCAGCTGCCTGTCTTCTGGGGTCTGTACCGTGCCATCCGGCGCCTGGCGATCGTGGAGTATCCTCACCTCAAGGCACCACGAACACATTCGGCAAATGCTTTGCGCAGTTTCGAAGTCGTGACTATTGTTCCTAGGGCTAGAGCCATCCAAGTTGTGGCCTCAGAGCTTCTCAAGCAAGGTTCCGGTTCAAGCATTGATACGTTTGTGGGTTTATGGTACACAGTACACATGAAGTGCATCTATTTCTGCACGCAAATTCCTACATAGAAATGTATACGCAAGCATGCGTGCATACATGTACACACACACATGTTTTTGAACATGAATATGTAGGTATGTACGTATGTATGCGCGCATGTATGCATGCATGCTCACTATGCCGATGTTTGTGTAAACGCAGAGCCTTGGGGCCACATGTCCCTAAGCAAACTCATCAAATCTGCTTCTTCGGAATACTTACAAGCTTGAGCTGCAAAAGGCTGAAGCCGGTTTGGACTTTTGCAAAGACGCCGTGTGCCAGGAGCCCTTCCTGTGGATCCCGTCGCTGTACGGCCCGAATTTCAAGCCCGACCCAAGCTTCGACTGGATCACTCAGTGGCAGGCGTGGGGGTCATGCCTGTCACGCAGTTGTGCAGCAATTGACTTACAAGTGCTCTTTGCTAGTACGCTTGTGACTGTGAGTGTTACTCGTACTATTACAACGACAAACTAGATTTGTATCATTCTTATCCTTTTTCTGGAAGGCTCAAGTGCAGGGTTGCAGGGCAGTGTTGTGGTCTCACGGCGCTGGTGAATCTTGTAACTCCCTTCGGGCTACGTGTCGTCCCTATACAGGGGCTTCTGATGTTAATGGCGACGATGATTTCGAGGGTTCAGTGTTTGCGGTTGCTTT